TTGTATTTTGACAGCTTTTTGAAGATCTTCAAAGATACATTGCAGTCTGCAGGGACTGCCATATCAATAAGGAGGCACTTTTTTTGTTTGTGGCCTCTAATAACAATGTCTGGGCGGTTGGTTTTAATTGTTCTGTTAGTGTGTATTGTGTAGTCCCATAGAATTGTAACAGGTCCTATCTCCGTAACCGGGTCTGGGTGGTGTTCATACCAGTTTCTTTCAGTTTCCTTCCCGTAGAAGTTGCAAATTTTCCAGTGCAGATATTAACCCACTCTGTCATGCCGGGTTTTATTTTCTATGGGTGCATATTATTATTATTATTATTATTATTATTATTAATTATCCTCGATCTAAATGTTGCATTTTTTTCATGATCCTGGCTTGAGAGATTTTAATTATTGCTGTCATTTCATTCCATTACTATTATCATCACCATTATATTTAGATTTCTATGTTAAGATTCAATGTGCAAGTTATATTAAGCCCTAACACCCACGTCTTTTCTTTACGCAAAGAACTATGCACATGTTTACTCAATATGCCCCCACCCAAAAATTTCAAATTAAAGTTAGAATGCGAACAGAGAACAAGTCTTCATAATATAACTAATTGGATAGGTAAGTAATTTGAAGCCTATGCATGGAAATGGTCGATCTATCTATCAAATTAGTTCTATTATCTATCAGCTTAAATGACAACGTGAGGATCACTACATTAGTAATACTATTCGGTCGTCGGAGAAAAGAATAGTCCAACATCTACTAGCTTGCATAAAGGTCAATTTCAGAATTTGCATAAATGCCCGAATGTATACGGGTCTGGGGTAGTAGAACATCTTATTAATTACAGGAAGCGCGCGAATTGTCCTATCATGACGTTATATTCCCTGTATTGAGTCTCTCCGCATTCAAACTTTCATTTTAGAGGTTTTGGTGAGGATCGAACTCGCTACCCTCTTCTAATGATCGGTTCAAACATATACAGTTATTAAATCAGCGCAGCATTCTCTGCGAAAAGAAAAAAGTCTTGCTTTGATATATGCCGTTTACCTTGTGTATAAGGCGACGTGGTTCAGTTCCTGGTTGTACGCCATATTGGATTGTTGGGCATTCGCTCTCTTTCGTCAGTGTTATATTTGTGCCCTCCATGTATTTTCTTTTATTCTTAACTATGTTAAGATATGTCGTAGAAATGTGTTGTCATGTCCTAGATTATTACTTTATACTACTGCATTTGCATAGGTGAATGACGTAAGTGTTTATTCACGGAAAATCGCGGGTACGAATAAAAATCCAAAGTTACCTCATTCGAAAATAGCTTTTTCAACACATAAGATTTTTACACGTAGGTCTTCTCAGCTCAGAGATATGAACACTAAGTTGACAAGTCTCGTGGGTCGAAATAGCTATTCGAATAAGCTAACTTTAGATTTTTATTCTGTGTAATTTATAAGTTCTGTTATAATAAATAAATTGAGCTCCTTTTGTGGATCAGTTTTAATATTTTATACTATTAGGATACACTTGGATTATTTACCAACGAGCTATTACTTATATATATATATATATATATATATATAGGGTAGGTGTGTGTGTGTGTGTGCATTTAAATTGCGTATAAGTTGGTAGTATTATTTACATTATTCGGACTATTGTTCTCATCTTTGCCGCCATGTTTATTACAACGTTTCGGCCGTTGTAAGCTTCAGTCTTCTTCAGGTGGTTGGAATGTCGAACTGAACTCTTTATTTCGCTTACTGGGGTAGATCTGTTCTAATTCCACGTGCCATATCTAATGGATGTCAGTTATCACCTTCTCCAATTTCTTTTCCATCAACCAGGTATTGAACTCCCACACTTTTTGGGTCCTGTCACTGGATTGAATCCAACGCCTTTATCCACTGTGCCATGTGTTCTTGAAGCATAGCGGATAAAGGCATTAGTTACATCCAATGACAGGACCCAAAGGGTGTGAGTTCAATACCCGGTTAAGGCGGTGGAGAACTTGAAGAAGGGAATTAACAGGAGATACCTGACAACTAACATCCACTAGACATGGCACGTGGAACTAGAACAGTCTACCCCAGTGAGCGAAATAAAGGGTTCAGTTCGACATTCCAACCACCTGAAGAAGGCCGGAGCGTATAACGGCCGAAACGTTGTGATAAACATGGCTACAATGATGAGGACAATAGTCTGAATAATGTAAATAGCGTACATAATTCCTCATCTCAGAAATATAGACAATTTGGCAGCATGTTTTCATTAAGATGTGTCTCATTGAATAATATAGAAAAGTGTTCTCTACTTATTTTCAATAGGATCCTCTCGGATAAGCTTCTGAGTATACTTATTAAGGGAATAGAGAAAATTACCATGTTGATACATATTCATTTATTCTGATTACTTTCGACGTTAGCACAATATCATCATCAAAGTGTTTGTTTTTTTTTAGGGGGGGGTCCCCAAGACAAAATTTTTGTCTTCATTTGAAAGTTAAATTTTTTAACTGGGATATGAAATTGCTATGGTTATGAAATATACGAATTATTAGGTTGGTGCAAAAATAATGTCGTTTTTTGACGTTAAGTTGAACGTCAAAAAACAGCATTATTTTTGCACCAACCTAATAAAATTTCCCGATGCAATCGTCTGCGGAGGTAACTAAGTTTGGAATGTCAACATATTTAAAAAAAAAACGAAACAAAAACGCTATTAGTTAAAACCTAGATATGTTTAAAGTAAACATGTAAGTAAAGTAAACATGTAAATAAAGTAAACATGTAATTAAAGTAAACATGTAAAGTAAACAGCTAACGTAAACATGTTAAAAAAATTGTGCAGTATTGATAATTAATTTTATTAAGGACTGTGTTAAATATTTTAATATAGATAGCTTCAAGAATATCTAGTTTACGTTTATTATTTTCATGAAAAATATAGATGTATTTTCAGCAATAATTTTCCTGTATATTACCAACGATACATTTTTGAAAATATTACCATCATTCCATATTTGGAAAAAAAATATTACCAGCAATAAAAAAATTGTCGGTATTAAATAACCATTTGAGGTTGATATGCGACATATCAAACCAAATGAAATCCTCGCTCTTAATCTCTCCGTCTGTCTGTCTGTCTGAGTGTCCCGAATAGAACAATTCTGACCAGTTCTTTTTAAACATTTCTGCCATGCATAGATGTACACATTTGGCTTATTCAATATAATTCTGGGTACCTCGGCGTGGTGTAATGGTTAGCAAGATTGTCTCGCTATATCAGTTACAATTGGAAAGTGAGTTCGATCCTCACTAGATGCCTCATACTTTCGGCCTTGTGCCACATCTAAGCTCTGCTTGGAAAATAACAATTCAAGCTAATTCTATTGTCATTGTTTTTTCTAATTGAGGTTTGTATGCCGTAAAATAAACCATATCAAACCAAATCATCTCTCTTAATCTCTCTGTCTGTCTGTCTGAGTGTCCTGAATCGAACACTTCCGACCAGTTCTTTCTAATCATTTTCTGATTACAAACCCACAATTCCTCCCCCAGAGAGCTCAACCGAATGCCAGAAATTGGGAACTTTATAACAATAATCGGAAACGTGGAAAAAGTGCAAGAGGAGAATGTCTTCTTTCTTTCTTCGCCTTTGAAGATCCTTTTTGCTGGACCTAGGCCCTTCCCCGTGTAGGTATGTGTCATTAATCGACCACGCTGGTCCAAAGCGTTTTGCTAGTGACGGAGGTGAAACGCTTGGGGGGATTTTACCTCGATGGACGATCGCCTAATGGTATTTTCGCGTAAGTAACTGTAACGAAACCAACTCGAACCCGCACACTCAAACGTACAGCACTTGGTATTCCGAAGCGGTTATCCAGCCTTGACAGTACCTAGCAGAATTTTTTTTTCTTTAAGAAGACTCTGCCTTTCGTCCTAACGATTTACCGGTGGAACGTATGGAAAGACGGCTTGGAGAATTTGACACTCAAAGAGACAAGGCACAGTGGATAAAGACGTTGGTTAGATCCAGTGACTAGACCCAAGGGGTTGTGAGTTCAGTACCAGGTCACAGCAGTGGTGTACCAAACTTGGAGAGTTGAATTAAAGGGAAAAAACTGAGACAAAAGACGGAAGTGGAACTAGAAAAAGCTACCCCGATGGACGAAATAATGGGTTCGATTCAATCACCTGAAGAAGGCCGGAGCGTACAACAATCGAAACGTTGTGAATATGGCAATGGAGATAAGGATAACAGTCCGAATAATGTAAATAATGCAAGTAATCAGAAAACGTTATCTCAGAGATATAGAGGTCAAAACATTGTGAATATAGCAATGAAGATGAGGATAATAGTCCGATAATATAAATCCGAATAATCATAATACCTAAATAATCGAAACATTGTGAATATAGCAATGAATCCGATAAATATAAATAATGTAAGTAATCATAATCTCATCTCATATATAGAGGTCGAAACATTGTGAATATGGCAATGAAGATGAGGATAACAGTCCGAATAATGTAAATAATGCAAGTAATCATAATATTTCACCTCAGAGATATAGACAGATAGAGAGATGGATATGAACATAAATAAAGAGAGAAATAGACTGATCGATATGAATAGAATACTTAAAATGGAATAAAGGGTTCGGTTCGAAATTCCAATCACCTGAAGAAGGCCGAAGTGTACAACTGCTGAAACATTGTGAATACTGCAATGAAGATGAGGATAACAGCCTGAATTATGTAAATAATACAACTAATTATAATACCTCATCTCAGAAATATAGATAGATATTGAAGAATGTTTTTTTAGAGAATAAAGCTTTAGTGATATATATTTTACTAATTAACCCATAGCCGGGAGTGATAAGAGGTAGATTCAAGGGTATTTGCGCGTAAATTAATATAACGAACCCAACTGTAATTGGAACTCATTTGTCTAATTAACAATTTTGAATCATTTTCCATTACACCATCTGCACACCCAAGGTTACAGCTCCTGGTATTTCCAAGCGGTCACCCATGTACATACCAGGCTCAAGATTGCTTAACTTCGGTGATCGTACAGGGACCGATATTTCAACGTAATACAGCTGTAAACAACGCGAGGAGGGAAATACACATGTATCAACCATATTTTGACTCAGGTATATCTATAAATGTATTACACAAAGTCCTAACAGCCAACCCTTTTCTCTGCATAAGGATGGTTGTCTTGACGTAATATAAATTGTCTCGAGGACTTTTAGGTGATGGTTGGAATGTGATCCACTCAAAAACATATCCTCACAGAAGTATGAGGCATGTTGACAATTTTTAATGGGATGCCCAAAGCTCTCACTTCTCTCTTCCTCTCTTTTCATTACGGTCATATTCAGTCTTTCTCCTCGATTTCCCCCCCACTGTCTCTCTCTCTTTCGATTCAGTCCTTTCTATTTTCCCATCTTTCTCCTTTCACCCCCTCTCTCTCTCTCTCTCTTTCTATCATTCTCACTATCTCTCTCTTTCTCTAACCCAATTCATACTTTTCATCTCGTTGTCTCCGCTCGCTATCTCTCTTCCACTTCTCTCTCTCTTTCTCTTTCCTCTCTCTTCGTCCCCTCTCTTTTCCTTCCACCTCCCTTTTCCTCCCCTCTCTTTTCCATCCCTCTCTTCCTTCCTCTCGCTCTCTCTTTCTCTCTCCTCTCACTTCCTTCCCATCTCTCTTCCCCCCTCTCTTTCTCTTTCTCTAACCCCAATTCATTCTTTTCATCTCGTTGTCTCCAACGTCTCCGCTCACTATCTCTCTCCCCCTCTCTTTCTCTTTCTTTTCTCTTCCTCCTCTCTTTTCCTTCCACCTCTCTTTTCCTTCGACCTCTCTTTTTCTCCCCTCTCTTTCTTTCTCTCTCTCTCATTCTCTCTCGTCTCACTTCCTTACCATCTCTCTTCCTTTTCCTCTCTCTCCCCTCTCTTTTCCTCCTTTCCCCTCTCTCTCTCTTCCTCTTTCCTCTCTCTTCCTCCCCTCTCTCTTACTTCCCCCTCTCTCCCCTCTCTCTTCCTCCCCTCTCTCTTCTTCCCCTCTCTTTCTCTCTCCTCTCACTTCCTCCCCATCTCTCTTCTTCCCCCTCTCTCTTCCTTCCCCTCTCACTTCCTTTCCCCTCTATCTTCCTCCCTACTCTATCTTCCACTCTTCCTGTCTCTAGCAGATTCGGTTTCACTTTTCACACTCTCTCTCTCTCTCTCTCTTACTCTCTTTCTTCCTCCCTCACTTACTCTCATCTAATTCAGTCCTTTCGATTTTCCCATCTTTCTCCTTTCCACTTTCTCTCTCTCTCTCTCTATCGTTCACCCCCTCTCTTTCTCTTTCTCTAACCCCAATTCATTCTTTTCATCTCGTTGTCTCCAACGTCTCCGCTCACTATCTCTCTCCCTATCCCTCTCTCTCTCTCTCTCTTTCTTCTCTCTTCCTCTTTCCTCTCTCTTCCTTCCCCCTCACTCATCCTTCCCTCTCTCTCTCCTCTCCTTTCCTCCCCTCTCTTTTCCTCCCCCTCTTTTTCTCCCTTCTCTTTCTTCCCCTCTCTCTCTTTTTCTCTCTCCTCTCACTTCCTCCCCATCTCTCTTCCTCCCCCTCTCTTTCTCTAACCCCAATTCATTCTTTTCATATCGTTGTCTCCAACGTCTCACCGCTCACTGTCTCTCTCCCCACGTCTCTCTTTCTCTTTCTCTTTCTCTCTTCTCTCTTTCTCCGCCTCTCTCTTCCTCTTCCCTCTCTGTTCCTCCGCCTCTCTCTTCCTCTCCCATCTTCCTCCTTCCTCTATCTTCGTCACTCTTCCTGTCTCTAGCAGATTCGGTTTCACTTTTCACTCTCTCTCTCTCTCACTCTCTCTCTCTCTCTCTCTCTTACTCTCTTCCTTTCTCCCTCTCTTACTCTCATCCAATTCAGTCCTTTCTGTTTGCCCATCTTTCATTTCCTTGTATCCAACGACCCCTCTTCGTCTTTCTTTCTTTCTCTCTCCCCTTCCTCTCCCTTCTTTCTTCCTCTCTCTTCCTTTTTCTTTTGTCTGTCTTTCCCTCCTGTCTCTCTCGTTTCCCATTCTCTCTTTCTATCGCTCCCTTTCTGACTCTCACCCAATTCAGTCTTTTTTGTCTTTTTTCACCCTGTATCCAACGACCCCTCTCCTTCTTTCTCCCCCTCTCTCTCTCTCTCTCTTTGTCTCTCTCTTCTTCTCCCCTCTATATTTCCCTTTTACTTTAATCTTCTGTTTTTCTCTCCTGTCTTTAATAGCTTACCTTTCACGTTTGACTCTCTTTCTCTCTCCCTCCTCTCTCCCTCCCAATACAGTCATTTTTGTTTTTCTCTCTCTCTTTCTTCATGACATTTTCAATTTCTTATATTATCTCTTCTCTCGCTCTCTCGCTCTCTCACACACTCTCTCTCCCTCGGTTTCTATTTCATTACTTCTTCCTCTATTGCCGTCTCCCTCAATGTTAAACGAATCAATCAAGTTCTTATTAATAGCATTCACCCCTACCCCACACCCAATACCAATTGTTATCTTTTTGATGAGGCGTCGAAAGATGAAGTGAATCCAGGAAACTGGGGTTAAGTTCGAACGAGACAAGCAACGGGCCTTGCCACACCCTTTTATCTCTCACCCGCCATCATTGTTCCAGCCTGGCTCCTCTACGCGGCCTTACAGCCAAACGCTCATTTGAAACGAAGTGAGAAAGGGAAATAGATTTTAATGAAGACGAGGCTTGTCAATTACTGAAGTCCCGGTGAGGAGGAACCTATCTAAAAGCTATCTGCCCGTCAAGGCTACGGTCAGGGAAATTGTCACGTTAGATAATGGAGTTTGAAAAGGAGGGTAGGAAAATGAAAAACAAACATGCAATAGCGGTGATTAAAAAAAAAAGAAAGAAAGAAGGAAAAGGAAGGAAGAAATAGAATAAAAGAGTGAAGGAAAAATAAACAAAGAAAGAAACAAAGAAATCGTGGTTATTAAGAAAGAAAGAAAGAAAGAAAGAAAGAAAGAAAGAAAGAAAGAGTAAAGAAGGAAAAAAGAAAAACACCAGAAGACAGAAAAAAGGAAACAAACAGAAGACAAGAAGAAAGAACAAAATCATCAGTAGAAAGAAAGAAAGAAAGAAAGAAAAAAGAAATGAAGGGAAGAAAGAAGGAAAATGAAGAACAATTAAAAAAATTAAGGAAAGACAAAAGAAAGAAAGATATACAATAAACGAATGCAAGAAAGTTAAACAACAAAGAGAAAGAAAGAAAAAGATAAACAAGAAAGAAAGAAAGAAGAGTAAAAGTAAGGATAGAAAAAGAAAGAAAGAAATCCAAAGTTTATGGATAGACAATGAATTAACGAAAGAAAGAAAGAAAGAAAAAAGAAAGAAAGAAAGAAAGAAAGAAAGAGGTGTAAAAAGTAATGATAGACAAAGAAAGAAGTGTAAAAATTTAGGATAGGCAAAGAAAAAAGAAAGAAAGAAAGAAAGCGTGGTTAAGAAAAAGAAAGAAAAGAAAGAAAGAAAGAAAAGAGAGGTGTAAAAAGTAATGATAGACAAAGAAAGAAGTGTAAAAATTTAGGATAGGCAAAGAAAAAAGAAAGAAAGAAAGAAAGCGTGGTTATTAAGAAAGAAAGAAAGAAAGAAAGAAAGAAAGAAAGAAAGAAAGAAAGAAAGAGGTGTAAAAAGTAATGATAGACAAAGAAAGAAGTGTAAAAATTTAGGATAGGCAAAGAAAAAAAGAAAGAAAGAAAGAAAGCGTGGTTATTAAGAAAGAAAGAAAGAAAGAAAGAAAGAATGGCATACAATGAAGGTAGGAAAGAAATGTAGAGAAAAAGAAAAAGCGTAAAAAAGGAAAAAGAAAAAAAAAGAAAGAAATTTATCTGCATTGAAGAAAAGTGTTCGTAACAAGATTGGATTTAATCAGAAACGGCGAGAATTCATTTCAAACAAAATCCGGCCTAATATGTTACTTTCACTGACTCAGGAATGGCCAGAAGGAAGGCATGAACCCAACACTTAAGGCCCTATCAAGCTACGGATTAAATACCAGATCGAGTTGGCTTCAGTGACAACGACAATTCTGAATTCCAAATAACACAGAAGGTAACGGAAACAAACCTCCGCAAGGTGCTATAACAATTCAAAGATAATAAAAAAAAGAAAAATATTCTGTAACGAGACACTATTTACATTATTCAGACTATTGTTCTCATCTTTGTCGCCATATTTATCACAACGTTTCAGCCATTCAGTATCTGTCTATATTTCTGAGATGAGGTATTATGTACACTATTTATATTATTCGGACTATTGTCCTCATCTTTGTTGCCATATTTATCACAACGTTTCGGCCTTTCAGTATCTGCCTATATTTCTGAGATGAGGTATTATGTACACTATTTACATTATTCGGACTATTGTCCTCATCTTTGTTGCCATATTTATTACAACGTTTCGGCCCTTCAGTATTTGTCTATATTTCTGAGATGAGGTATTATATACACTATTTACATTATTCGGACTATTGTCCTCATGTTTGTTGCCATATTTATTACAACGTTTCGGCCTTTCAGTATTTTTCTACATTCCTATTATGTACACTATTTACATTATTCGGACCATTGTCCTCATCTTTGTCGCCATATTTATCACTACGTTTCCGCCTTTCAGTATCTGTCTATATTTTTGAGATGAGGTATTATGTACACTATTTACATTATTCGGACTATTGTCCTCATCTTTGTTGCCATATTTATCACCACATTTCCGCCTTTCAGTATCTGTCTATATTTCTGAGATGAGGTATTATGTACACTATTTACATTATTCGGACTATTGTCCTTATCTTTGTTGCCATATTTATTAAAGGTTTTGGCCGTTGTACGCACCTGCCTTCTTCAGTTGGTTGGAATGTCGAACTGAACCCTTTATTTCACTCACTGGTGTAGACTGTTCTAGTTCGTTTAATTAATCCGTTCCCATTATATTCTTTTTAGACATTTAATGGTATCTATGATTAATTAATTACCCTTGGCATTATATAAATCGTTTTTTGCTAAATACAATTTCATGTAAAAAAAATGCATGTCTTTAACATAACAGTGAATAAAATGATTAGCAGTAGAATAATAAAGACAGTGACGATAAAGCCTATTTCAAGATCAAATTAAAGCAATATGATCACTTAATAGACAGCGGTATCTGAGTACCTTACATGAAAGTCTTGAACAAATAAGGCTGAAATTTAAAAATGCAGGAATAAAGGAAGTGATCAATATATGGTTCAGTTTGCTTTGGAACTGATTTTGTCTAAATGGAGATAAATATTTTATTTATATAGATTATTAAAACAATTAAGAGAAGTAAGATTAAGATTAAGGGGAGATTTTATTCAAACGATTATGGGAAGTAAACATTCAAAAATTTACTAACTTAAATTGATTTTATTACTTTTTTAATTTTTTTTTTTTTTTTTCGCTTTTTTTCATTAACTTCTTAATCTTGTTCGTATTTTCTTATTCCTTACTGTTTTTCGCCTTTTCTTTTACGGCTCTCAATCTTCTTTACCTATATATTTGCATTCTGGCAGGGAAAGGAATTTAATAAAATGGAAAAAAAAATGTCGATCTGTCAAAAGTTTTTTGTGTCTTTCTTATTCCGAATCTAAAAAAAATGTTAAGAAATATACGAATAAAAGAAAAAAATAAATGAAAATGTACGAGACGACGCCGAAAAATTTGGCTTCTTTTATTTTAAATAATAGAAACCAACTTCCTTTGTAACTAAAGATGTGACCTGATGAACCAGGAAAAATATATTTTATAGGGAAATATATTATAGTCATGGAACCTTAAGGTGTAAAAAAAAAGATTAAAAATAATCGAAGTTTTTTATAATAAAAAAGAAAAAGCCAACTCTTAACAATATTAACTACGAACAAGGCCACAATGTGCTAACCGTATTCGTAAATTAAAAACATCTCTACAACACACTAAGACATACACATAATGCACACACTCAATTAAGCGGAAAAATTGAATCATCCTTGATAATGGCTAAAGATATAGGCGAAAGCGCTTGGAACTATAAAACATTTAGACAGTTTTTACACACTCTTTGTCCAGAAAAGAAAGCTCTTGTTAGAACACAAGAAAAATTAAATAAAAAGCTTAAGCGTAGTACCTTGTCTGTCGTTTTTAACGAATCATATATATATATATATATATATATATATATATATATATATATATAATTGTTAGGTTTGTCTGGCTCTCTAAGTTTAATTGTTTAATTAGGTCTGCTCTACTTACCGTATTGAGCACTTTATTTAGTTATTTTGCGTACACGTATCAGTTTTTTTTCTTTGGGCTTTGGACTTGCATGCTAGACGATTATTTTCGGCTAACGGACATGTTCTTGGTTCTTTCTATTTTAATACCTTTTTTTTCCCTTTGGTATTGGTTTGATTATTCGCAAATCAAAACACTGAAGGTTTTCCGAACGAGTATAGTTTCTTATACTTATAAGACTACTACTACTACTAATATATATATATATATATATATATATATATGATAAGGATAGATATATATGATATGATGGGATAAGGAATAGATAGAAATCCACTATAAATCTAAAATGTTTCACTGTTATTAAAGATTGATCAAAAAATAAATATGAAAAAGAAAAAGAAAAGACTGCTATTTTTACTTTTTGTGTTTAATGTGGACACATGGTGAGAAACTCGATTGATATTCGTTGATATTTTATTTTATGTCAAGACGTTTATCCGACCCCCACAGAGCCCACATTAGTTACAGTCTCATAAAGTCTCCTTAACACAGCGGAGAATTTATCCAAAATTATCAGGAAAGTATTTATAGAAAAGGTACAGGAAGGCTACATTACGGCGGTGGGAAAGTGACTGAAGCCGAGAGGCCATGTCAGGGTCAATAATGTTGCTGAATCTTCTTTGGATTTTATCAAGAATCTCTAAATATATAGCAGGCACGCCGGACAACATGTGGCAACAATGCAAGAATGGTAGAATTCCAAATATGTAAGATAGATTCTGGCGAGGAAAATTTTCTAGCACAAGACAGTGACACATTTTTCTTACCTAGCAATGGATTCAATATAAACTTTCCACTTCATGTCGGGGCAGAATGTTACAACATTAAGGGCATAACCTGTCACTTTCCTGTAGGTTAGCATCAGTCATGATATATATATATATATATA